TTTTTTTTTTTTTTTTTTTTTTTTAATAAACTGTATAGCAATCACGTACGTGTAGTGGTACACAACAGGTTTCTGCGATAAACTATCAATTTCCACGTCACTACAATACATTTCAAAATCACTCGGACAATCAGATAAAACGTCTGCATATAATTCATTGAAAATCTTTGTAACACTAAGACTCTGATAAAAACCTAAATATCAATAAAAGTAATTTTTTTTCTATAACAAAGTGAACACGACGAAGGCAGATTTCACAATAATATCCTGTATCACCCAGTAAGTACAATTACAATAATTGTTAAAAATTGAAATAGCTAATGCAAACACGAGTTAACTGATCAACAACGTGTTAATGGCCACTGTTTTGGCAATTCTTATCATTCTTCAAATCGATGATATTCAATTAGAAATACATCCAAATATGTACATGTCAAGTATATTTTGTCTAGTATACATAATATATTGAGTTTTTGTCAAGCCTCGTGAACCATTTGTATGGTGGCACACGTGTTGAAAAGGATATAATAAGATCATGCTGAAAATAAACAAACGATCCATCGCGATTGTATCTTCCTGTTTACATATTTTCTTCTTCTGTTACTAGAATAGGTGTTATCGCTTAAACCAAGGCAACTTAATATGTATGTACATAGCTGGATCACGAAGAGGTGTTTTTCGCGCTGACTGTTAATGATGTTTAATTTGTTCAATACTACCAAAATATCTCGTCACTACTTGTTTGTTAATTGAATAATTTTGCTGCATATTTCTTTTCTCGTGACAGCGCTAATGAAGTCTCCAAATAGTTTGTACCACAGAAGTTTTCCATGGTGATTGTTCAATTTTCTTTCGTGCAAATAGCTGCATTTGAAGCTATATATCAAACACACAGATCGATTGAATTTGGTATTTTGCAAAAAAAATTGTCGATTCATTCAATCATGAATATTCATCGTTATCGTTTCAGTATTTTTTTTTTTTGTCATTTAATCGAATCAGCCGACACGCGTTTGTAAATGATTTTTACGCTGAATTTCTCAAACTATCCAGATGGATGGATCGATCATTCTGAATATACGTACGTTTTTATATTTTCGTTTTGTTTAGTTTAAAATCTTTGCCACGTTTTTTACGTTTTTTTTTTTTAATGTTATTTGTCGTTTCAATAAACATTTCTAAGAATCATTCATCGTGATGAATTTTATCATCTGGTCCGGATATTTGATCATCCTTCGCGCATCCTTCGACGATACAGATATACAAAATGGTTTCGAAGTTTATTTTACCAGCACTCAAGGACTCGAAAGAAACACGCGAGACATCTGAACAAGGGAAACAGTCACTTCTGTTACAAAGCGCAACTGATTTGTAAAGAATGCAGGTATAAAGTCTCTTCGAACTGCACGATCAGTTTAACGCTAGTGTTTTTTTTTTTTTTATATATTATATTATTTTTTATATTAACCTGTTAATTAAGCTTTTAAATTAGAATTTAAAATCAACTGTGTTGAAGACACGAAATAAATCAACGATCGCTCGATAATGTAGTGACTCTGTAACGGAATATATATAAAACTAAGGAAACGTGAAGCCAATATTTCAAGTAGTGCAGATCCGTCGTCTGGTTTTTCCTGCACGAAATTTGAGAAAGAGAAAGCGATGAGTGATGCCATAAATTAGGCCCTCTTCTATTCACTGCGTATGGGCCAGAAGAGCCCAACAGTTAGTATGTATGTATTTCGTCAGCATCGGTAACATTGTTAGCTTCGTTATCCATTTCAGTCTCGTCGTTTTAGATAAAACTGATTTTTCTATCAATTTTTCTCTTTCACTTTATTATTTCTTCGTGTCATTTATTGTCACTGATAAATACACGTGCTTGCCGCTTCTATCTCTCTGCACAAGTCAACGTGTATGCATTTTTTTTTATGATTCGAGACAAGCAGATTGATAACAGAAGTATAATCGCGGCTTCATTGTCAATGACGTCAATTCTATTCAATGCACGGTTTCGTTTTACCATCACTCGGGTCGAGTGTTCTATGATTTAATACAGAGTCACGGGAAATTTGAGAATGCTCAAAATATATTAAAATATATGTATCATCATATATATACATATATTCTGCTTTATATTGAAATTTTAAATAATAGTCAATGTTGATTTTTATGAACTAAAACATGGGAACTAATACAAATTTAAAACCTAACCTAACCTAAACATACATGAAATAAAATTTTTCTTCAAACTTGTAATCGTACGACTTTGTTTGCAACGAGTGTACTGCACGTTTGATAATATGCATGCAATTAAATATACTGCTTTTTTGTTAAAGATAACAACGTAAACGCACACAAGTTCTAATTGTTGTGCGTTATTACTGATTAAAAAGAAAAAAAAAAAAACAGCGAAAAACTTCGGGAAAATTTATAAAAATTACTTTGAACGAAGAAAATTGTAAATTATAAATTCTAATGTTGCAGCGAAATCAGTATTAAAAAAATTATGATGTGAGTAATTATTTAATTAACAAAAAAAAAATTTATATACGTATTTTTCTGATACTAAATAATTTCTAACGTTATTTATTGTCTTAAGTATCCTTGAAATGATATGAAAAAACAAAAAGAAACAAAATTAAACTAGAAAGTTATGATCTTATCTATTCTTTGAATCGTATGCTCACATCATATATTTGTAAACATTGCAATAGACATGTGTAGGTGATTCGTGCTCGTATCGTGCAAATATTTACGAAGGAGCAACATTATTACATAAATCCGTTGTATAAAGATCGAAGTTCGATTTATACTTTCAAGTATAAATGAAAATACGATAGGAATTTAATTAACAATTCTGCACGACCATTGTGACGAATTAAAAATTTAGCATCTATTAAATAGTTACTTTTATAATGCCATGCAAAAAAAAAAGAGTAAATAAATAAATCTTCGTCTGAAAGTAAAGGTGAACAGTGTATCGTTCCTCTTTGTATTTATACGTGAAATTTTCTTAAATAATTTTTTATTATAATTTATAAACATGGCCCAATTAATCGTGTGATATTACATATATAATATAATTATAATTCTGAAATTAATCACGATTACTTATCAACTCGGCATTCTTTGACGATTTACGTAGAATTGACAGAAAATTACTACTACATTATACACTACGAGAACCTGACCTTGAATGTTATTAGTCTTTTATCTAAGGCGATGTTTACACGTTTTTTCACATAATTTTCAAGTGTTAGAATGTTAGCTAGATATAAAACCGATTTAATCTTTAATTGATTTAAAAATTTGTGCAATATAGTCTGAAATATAGTTTATTGTTTCTGATACAGTAGTGTAACACAAAACATAATTTTGATATTAAAATGTGATATTATTTAACAAATATTGTAAGAAATAAAACTACGAAGGCAATGAAGGCGATTTTTTTCTTACAATACGATTCTGTGAAAATCAAAAAATTAGCCAACAATTATGAACGATATATAAAGAATTAACATCATTCGAAATTTTCGAAAGTGTTACGTTACTCATTTGCACGAAAATTACGTACGTTGCTTCTTATATTAAATTGTTTTCCCAATACAGTCGTCCAGTAAAATTTACTTTAAAAACACATCTTCGACAAAATCTCTGTATTTCAAATGGTTACGCGTATTTATATGTATAAACGAGAAAGGTGCAGGTTCATTGATGACTTACTACGATACTGAGCGAGTTAAACGCAGTGCGCAAGGCGCCTGCGCACTGCTTGAAAACTCGATAGCTGATTCGCGAGAATCGTTCTCCTTCAAGTTGGCTGCTCTGTCAGCTCTTTATTCATAGTGGCAACGGTTGAACATTGTCAGCGTTTTCACTCTCACGGTTGACCGGTCTCATTCGTATTTCGGCGGTTAAGAAGGAAGATATTCTGTTACACTGATCTGCCCGATTTTCTCTCAATAGGAAGACTTTCGTTCATATTCTTTTGCCAACAATCAAGACGTAAGTACCGTTAAATTGAGCTACTTTCGTTCGCATACAGTCAATAGCGATCAGCCTTGTTTGCCGGTAATCATGTTTTCTCTTACCGATATGCACGTGTCACGTTTCCTGTGCGCTAAAAATCAATACACTCGATTGCTACTGAATGTCATTTCTACACAGTTAAACAAAACAATTTCGGGAGGGACAGGGATCAATATTGTTCGCATAATTACCGGTTCTCGTGTTCTTTCAAACGAACGTTCTGCACTAACGCATTCTAGCAAAACGGTAATACG